CACACAGCATTTGGGAAGCAGAAACAGGTGGACCTCAGTGAGTCCGATGCCAGCCTGGTCTACAAAGCAAGTTCCAGGACAGCAAAGACTGTCCCACAGAGAAACCCTATTGGGGACGGGGGACGACAAAAAACAAACCCTAGGGAATGCCTGCACATGCACGTGGCCCTGGGAATTGTTATATACTACTGTTCCTATTTTGTAAGAAGATAGGTTACCTAGCAGCATTGCAAGCATAGCTTCGTTTAGTACATCAAACAGATGAACAAAACATAATGGAGGCTGGAGAGACGGCTCACAGCATTCATTGGTCTTACAGAGGATTCAAGTTTGGTTCCCAGCACCTATATCAGACAGCTCACAATAGGTGTAACTTCAGCTCCAGAGAATATGGGGCTCTAGCCTTCAAGGGCACCTGAACTCATATGCATGATTCCACACACAGACACACACATTTCATTTGTATTGTAATAAATAAAGCTTGCGTGAAGATCAGAGAGTAAAACAGCCGCACTGGTTAGCCTTACAGACCAGGCAGTGGGGACACACACCTTTAATCCTAGTAGCCACACTAGTTTGACCCAGGAACTGGACAGTAGTAGGGCACACCTTTAAACCCAGCCTTAGAGAGGATTATAAAACAGGAGCAGACAGCTCTCAGTTACAGTCTCATTCTGAGATTCCTGGAGGCAGGATCGCCATTTCAGACTGAGGTAAAGGTAAGAGCCGGTGACTGGTTGCTTTGCTTTCCCGGTCTTCAGGTTGAACCCCAGTATCTGTCTCTGAACTTTTATTAACCATGCTTCACACATGCGCATAATAAAAATGAGACAAAAGTTAAAATAACCCTTTAAAAAGCCAGGTGTGTTGGTGCACACTTTCAATCCCAGCACTCTGGAGGAAGAGGCAGGCAGATCTCTACGAGTTTGAGGCCAGCCTGGCGTACATAGTGAATTCCAGGACATTCAAGGCTATGCAGCAAGACCCTGCCTGAAAAACAAACAAATAAATAAATATGATTGAGCTGAGCATGGCTGTACCTTTACAACAAATGATTCTGTTTTTTAAAATCTGACAGTGAAGCTTATGGGCTATCTTTGACCACATGGATGGGGAAGCTGTCTTCACAGTGGCAGATGCCTTACCTGCAGTCACCAAGAGTGCTTTAAGTCTTCTTTTTGTGTTGTCTGAAAGATGAAAAATAAAACTGAAGCTTTTTCTCCTTCTAATTTTGTTTGTATAAGAGTTTGGCAGGTGTGTGGAAGGCAGAGGACAACTTTTCAGAAGTCAGTTCTAGCCTCTCCCTTGACGGAGGCAGTGTCCTCATCTCTGTGGTGGCACCAGAGTCCAGACTCTGCCCCACCAATTCCCCACCCCCGGTGCTTTACTGCCAGTCTCCTGTCTCCACCTTCCGCTTCCCTATGGGAGTCCAGGGATTACAGATGCATACCCACATCCTGCTTTTCATGTGGGTTCTGAGGATCAGACTCAGGTCATTGGGCTTGTGTGGCAAGCGACTTTACTTACACTGAGCTACCGCCCCAGTCCTTGCTTTGTGTTTTGAAAAAGAGTCTCAAACTAGCCATCCTCCTGCCTCCACCTCTGAGAGCTAAGATTACAAACATGCACTAGCATGGCAAGATGAGCCTCCTAATATTCTAAGTTTAATTTAATTTCTTCTTTTTAATTTTGTTTACTTTCGGTTTTGAGATAGGGTCTCTCTAGGTAGTTTTGGCTGCCCTGGAACTATGTAGAACAGACTGACCTCAAACTCACAGAGATCCATCTGCCTCTGCCTCCAGAGTGCGGGGATTATCAGCAATACTTACATTTTAAAAAATTTACTAAGGACTAGGGTGTAGTGGCCACACCTTTAGCCCTAGCAGTAGGGAGGCTGAGGAGGCAGCTGGAGGACAGGGTCACCTCTTTGGTCTGAGCATCAGTAGAGGTAAAAGAACTCTCTAGTGGCTGCCCTGTGCTTCTCTGACCTTCATCATTAACCCCTAATATCTGGCTCTGGGTTTTTATTATTAAGACCAACTAGATTTCATGCCATACTCAGAGCTACATAGAGAGGGCCTGTATCAAAATGAACAAAAGCTTGCTAAGGAATAGCTGTGGTGGCTCATGCCTGCAATCCCAACATTTGAAAGCTGGAGGGAGGAAACTACCATAAGTTCAAAGCCAGCCTGGGCTCAAGAGTGAAAACCGGTCTCAAAACAATATGAAACAAAAAACCAAACTGTCAAAGCATTAAGCCATGTGAAATTGCAAATCTTGGGCTGCCTTGATGGTAAAAAGTGACAGCTTCATATGGCTCAACTTAACACATGTCTAGTGTTTATGAATTATTTATTACTTACAAATAAATATTTTAATTATGAACAAAAATATGCATTGTTAAGTTATGCACGAATGTGGGCGGGAGTGGTGAAAGAGACTGCCCTGGACGGAGGAGGATGCATTCACGCCCAAGGGACTGGCTTCAGGAAGACCTGGGTTCAGTTCCCAGCACACACACCAGGCAGCCCACACCACCTGTAAGTCCAGCCCAGGGATCTGACGCCCTCTTCCGGCTTCCACAGACATCTGCACTCAGTCATACCATGCATGAATACGATTAAAAATAGTATTTTGTTTGCTTGCTTTGATACATGGTTTCTTCGTATAACAGCAACGCTGTAGACCAGGCTGGCCTTAAACTCAGAGCAATCCACCAGCCTCTGCTTCTGAGGGCTAGGATTAAAGGAGTGTGCCACCATGGCCCAAAGAAAAACTAAAATGATATGGAAGGAATAAAGAGTATAATGAAAAATAGTAACACATTAATTAATGTTCCTGAAGGGTGGGATGGCAGGAAAGCCAGCTGGTAACCCATCTAAACAGAACGATGTGTTTGACTTTCCTGTCTAGAAAACAAACCGGGAAGAGACAAAAAACGCCGCATCTGGGACCTGCTAACCATGTGCTCACGTTAAATTATCAAGCGGACCTCAACTGTTTTCTGTCACAGGACCATTTCCTCTCCCCACTAAAGAACTGAGCCTCCCTTCTTCTCCTGGCCTCCCCTCTCAGCACCGCGCGGTTCCTGTGTGGGGACTTGGTTTCCAGATGGCCCAATCTCTTAGCCCAGAAGGGCTCACCTGATCTGAATTGAAGCAACGAGAGCCTCTCTCGGGCCAGGCCAGAGCTTGGGCTGTTGCATCTCCAGCACTGAAAGGTCAGTTCCTGCAAGCTGTGGCTACTGTTCCCGGCAGGAGAGCATCAGTGGCCCACCTCTGGTCCCAGGTTATTCCAGATGCCCCACAGTTCATGGCTAACTGACCCTGGTTGAGCTTGGGGAAACATGGGCAGATGATCATGTTTGCTTTTTGAACTGAGTTGCATAGTCACCCACTCTTCCATAAGAACACCATCAAATAAACAAAGGAGCATCCCATCGTTCGAGGACATGATTTGGTACCCAAATCTTACATGAGAACTTCGTGGTGCCCAGAGAAGAAAAGTGGGTGGCCCACACGGCTCTGGAACTCCTGACAGCCTGCGAGAAATGTTTCCGTTCATAAACACATCCTTTAAATGATGTAACCCTGCATCTGGCTCTCTCCACGCCTGTGACTCAGAGACGCAGAGCTCAGCCCTTTTACACTTAGTTACTGGGGGCAGGGGGCACGTGCCATGAAGTGCGTGCAGAGATCAGAGGACAACCTGTGGGAGGTGTTTGGGTTTTTTGTTTTGTCCATCCACCATGAGGGGCCTGGGGATCAAACTTGGGTAGTTAGACTTGGCCGCAAGCACCTTTCCTCCCCCAGCCATCTCGCCAGCCTTCAAAGTGTCTTTAGAAAGCCAGGAAGAGCTGGGTGGTGGTGTCACGTGCCTTTAATATCAGCATGGGGGTGGGGCAGGCAGAGGCAGGTGGATCTCTGTGAGTTCAAGGCCAGCCTGGTCTACAGAGTTCTAGGAAAGTCAGAGCTACAGAGCGAAACCCTGTCTCAGATAATATTTTTGTACAAAGCAAACAGCGAAAGTCAGCGGGCATAAAGAACAACATAAACTTTTAATTTAGCTACAAAAATAGCTGGAGGAAAAACCAAGTTCTTAGGAACACAGAGGGTTGTTCTGTGTTTGTTTGGGAAGAAAATTCCACAGTGGGGGAAGCCACAGATTCGTGTTTTAAGCACAAGTGTGTTCCTAAGGCATATGTCATGTAGCCGCAAGAACTCCACAGCTGTCCAGGTAACTTGACAGCACTTGAGAGATGGGAAATGAGAGACATCACAACGGTGTGAGGAACAGGCTCAAATCTGGATGATTTCAGCCTGAGAGACAAACTTAAGTTCCCTTCTAAGTCCCACTCTCCGGCCTCTCCTCCTCCACTCCCCCC